AAAAATATAAACTGATCCCGCGGAACGGACTGCCGTAGCGAAAGGGTTAATGACATGGGCCGGTATTCAGAGTCGTTACTTATTTTTAAGATCACTGTTTCCTGTATACAACAGGAACTGAAAATATAGGATAGACAATGATAAAAAATGCTTAAGACGATTTAAAAAATTAAGTTAGTAGTAAGTTAATTAGTTAAACGATTCTAAATACCAGCCATTGAAAATTCGCAGGTAGAATTGTTTATTACACAGTTTGGGAATTTCAGTGGAATTGCCGTTGGAGAAATCAGTGGACTGGATCAAATTGAATCACAACTCTGCGGGCTACTATATCGTAAATTACACGGAAGACGCGTGGAACACGTTCAACAGTTTGCTACTCCACGATCATCGAGTATATTTTATTAATCGCTTACCGCGTTTGTTGATTATTGTTAGAGATTCTAATTATGTTCGTTTCGGAACGGGCGCAGGCCTTGAGCGCGGCGAACAGGGCCGACTTGTTGCACGACGCGTTTCTTTTAGCGGAAACTGATCTAAGCTATTCTATAGTTATGAACTTGACCTCGTATCTGGCGAACGAGAACGCTTATCAACCGTGGGCGGTAGCCGCGGAATGGTTCGGTCAGATGAACAGGCTTTTAGCTGGCAGAAACGTACACGCCAATTTCCAGGTGAGACCATCGCGCAAACTTTTAGATTTTATAGACTGTCGATATTCTGAACATTTTTATATAATTAATTAATGCATTCTTCATAATATCTGCACATCCAGTTTTTAAATAAACATGAAATCTTCAGTTTATAAAAATGCTTTAATTAAAAATTATTTTTATTTTATTAGTCATATGCGAGGGATCTCGTCGACAAATTATATCGTCAAATGGGATGGCGCGTTCATACGAAGGACCCCTTCAGTCTCAGGTTAGTTAAATCAATAAATATGTTAATTATTAAGAGAAATCATTAAGAATAGTCTTGTTTCCGTTCAAGAGAATTTCGCGTATTGATATTGAACGCGGCTTGCAGCGTGGGCCACGTGCACTGTCTCGAGACAGCAAGAAAAAAGCTGAGGAACCACCTTTCCCGGCGTAAAGAGCAAAAGTTGCACGCCGACGTTCGCTCTATCGTCTATTCGTACGGTAAGAATCTAGCGAATATCAGTCACGATTTTTAATTCATACAATAAATGATATTTGATTATTTTAATTCATAATGATCACGAAGATAGGCTTCGTTCTGTTGTCGAACGACACTGATTCCGTGTACGAGCACATGTCGCGATTGTATAAGGAACAGACGGACGCTCAGGAGAAAGAGAGGCTGTTGACCGGGATGACTGGGCTACAGGATAAAGACGCTCTTAATCGGTTAAGTTAATTGCGAGCGACGCTCCTTCGACGGGTCTCTGTTATCTTCTCGCGTGTCGCTGGCCAATTTGTCGAAGCCCCGACGGATTTACGACGTTCGGGGAATATAAATTTAACAGGCGAACCTGGGGAAACTCGACGGACAGGAGGAGCTCTCGATAATAAACGAAATTCGAAAATCATTTTTTAAAATTAGTTTCTGCTTGCAGATATTTGGAACGGGCGATGGACGAAAGTTTTGTTCGGAAGCAGGACTTTTCAGGAGTGCTGATCAAAATCGCCTCGAATCCCGCGGGGTTGGACGTCGCTTGGGATTTCGTACGGTATTGACATTTCTATACTACCCCACGCCCTTCAAAAAATACATTCTGTCAGATTGCTGCGAATAACTTATGGAACATGTGTTGGTAGAGATCGGTGGGAAGCTCTGCTAGTTAAATACGAGGCGAACGAGTTTGCTTTGGGAAGAATCGTTTGCGCGATTATATCGCTGTTTAAAGATCGGCAACGATTGCAAGAAGTGAGCATTTATACGAAATTTAATTACGAAAGCAACGTACGTATATACGTAAAAACGTATATAACGATGTTTAAACAACAAAAGACATTTGTTCCTGGATTTAATTTTTAAATACTAAGAAAATTTCCTAGAAATTCGTAGTATAATTTAAACGAAAAATTTGTTCTACAGGCGAGGCAATTCTTCCTGAGAGAATTAGATCTGAAAATAACCGAGAACGCGAAGAGGAACAGCATCGAAGAAATAGAGAACAGTATAAATTGGCTGGAGGCAAACACGTGGACTATCGAGCAATGGCTCGCGAGCAACGGTTTCGATTAATCCTCCTTTCTTGCGAGACAAGACGCCGCGATTCAGCTCGGAACCGTATCTACCTCAAATATTTAATTAAGATCCGAGCGTATTTCGGAATCTGTTGTCAGCCGCGATTAACGCGATTCGTTGAATAGATTTATGATCGCCGATCCGTTCAAAGATACGTCAGCGATATTTTCTTGTAGTAATTTCAATTCGTTTAACAGCGCTTTTAATAAACGACTCGTAAACAGTGCTAAATAATGCAATTCGCTCTTTATTATCAGACTTTTACAAATAGATTACAGTCGATAAATTTTAGGTAAAAATGCATACCTTATGCATGATTTATCGCATGACTCATCACACGGATTCTTACATGGTTGCGACTGTATGATAACAATCTTCCAGTTTAAATAATGCCGGATGAATACTAAAGAATAGTTATCAGACGTTTTATCACAGGAGATTTACCTAAAATTGCGTTTCTAAGGCCAGGAACGAGGTAAACAAACGATTTCGTGCACATTGACCGAAACGTGGGCGGTTCTAACTGGTTATCTAATCGGTCTGCGAGATGGTTCGCAAAGGAAGAAACGCGTGGTCGTGTGGACAATGCGTAACGAGAAAGCGTGGCCACAAGAAGCACTCGAGGAGCGTCGCGTTATCGTGCATTATCGAAATTTCTTTCATTACTCATTGCCGATACACGGCCCGGGACCTGGTAAACAAGAAGCGCCGGACTGCACTCCGTGTTTGCCTCCTCTAAAGCGGACAGAGACGTCGCGGCGAATGATCCTTCGTGTTCAACGACGCGACTGCGTTCACCGAAGCCGGACGCAGATTTCTCGTCAGTAGACGCACCAGGGACTCGTCGCGAACGCGAGGCAGTTGAACGTGCTGGATTTTCTTGTGAATAAAAATGTTCTAGTCGAGAACTCTTGTGAATCGACAATGAATCGTGCGTCGGTGAAAATGAATAAGACCGTGCATTACGCTGTGATTGCATTTTGGGAGAAGTCTGGGTGCAAAATCGTAGCGGATTACTCGGCGAAGCAGGACTCGGCTCTCAGGGCTATCGTGTTGAGCACGGTAGACAGCCTGAAGTCGCTGGAGGACGATAAGATCAGCTTCGATAGGGGCAAGTAAGCTTGTCAATCGTTCTACGAACGGTAAACAGAAGGTGTCCAGATTGAAAAATGTTCCGGGAATTTTGTGCAGTTACACGGTACACTTGCTGATCGGTGAGCTGCATTATGCCTGCCTAACGTCGAAACCGGACTGTCCCTCGTCGGCGGCGAGACTAGAGTCCTGTTCCCAGGTGTTTTTAGAAAGGTTAAGGAGTGTCTATAGGGAACTACCGATACTGGCTGACCTCTCCATGGATTTGACCAGCTTGACGATTATTGACCTATCGAACCCGTTGAAGAAGATAGTCGTAAGTTAGACTAGTTCGTTTCGTTAAAATCTTTGATACTAAAACTACTGAAAATGATGGATTCTTAATAGAATAATAAATGTTTCCGTCTGTTCATCATCAATGTTCGATCTCTCGTTTCTCTTTATACGCTTTAAAAATTGAGTCTCACCCTTTAGTAAATAATTATCAGTAGTTTTAATGCTGTTGATCGTTTCGTTCACTTTCAGGAGGAGTACAATCAAGAACCTGAGATAATTCCTCGATTGGAGGGTGAACTGGCAGAAATTCGAAAGGCATTGATGGACGGCGTACAGAAGTTGATCGACCGGGGTCAGAGACTGGACGAGCTCGTTCAGAAGACGCAGACCCTGCAGCTCATGGTAAAATACACTAATCGTGACTCAGACACTGTAGGGATTTAACCGTTGGCTGATCAGAGGTGTTTGTTCGGCAACACGTATCCTACTTAACTGTAATTAGCGCGTTTTAACCACGCGGCGTCCGATCGATAGGACGCGAGTATACGACCCTACCGTTTGTTTCCCCGAGGGTGGTGCGTGTCGAGATTACCGCTCTTTTATTTATACGCGCGCTGAAACGATACCATTAATTACTGGGTATCGGCTCGGCAATTAACCGCGCGATGGTACCCAGTTTTGTTTTTCGTTTATTCTTCTTGCTCTCCGAAGCATACAGGGTGTTCGGCTACTGCTGGGAAACATTGTAAGGAGTGATTGTATAAAAGTCGAAATGAGGCAAAAGTCAAGAATTAAAAAATTATAGCGAGGCTCCATTTTTTAGTTATATTTATTTGTCTCCTCTTACAAATGATGGACCATTAGTTTTGTAAGCCACAGATATAATAATCGAGATTTCTAAATAAGAGCTGTTTACAGATATACAATATTTTTTTTAGTCCAGAAAGGATTTCCACGTGCTGACCAGATCGTCCAGGAAGAAGAGAAACGCAATGATTGCAGTAGCTGCGGGAATGGTAACATTCCTCTCCACATCGTTCTTCGTGTTTTTAATTTACGCAGGGATTATCTGATCCTTTGACGTGTAAATCATGAGAGCAAATAAATTATTTATTGCCTGCTAATCATCATCTGCTTCATTTTCAAATATCCTTCTTTTTTTGCATAGGACTTTTCTTGTATCTGATAACTATAACTATATACAGTGGTCTCGAAACCATAGAGATAATACTGAATGATAATGATAATCTGTATGCTCGAAACGTGCTCGAAACTCGATGATCCGTGAGACAGTAACAAAATTCACACGATTACCGTAAAATGGCATCGGTGGTGACGTTTACGGTGGACCCGATCGATCTCGAAGAGGAGATCAAGCGCAGAGATGATCTCGCCGAATCCACGCGCCGCTTCTACTTCATCGCCGCGCGCAGGATACAGGTTGACGATGCTCACCGCTCGAGATAAGACCAGAATCCGACCTGTTTATTTTTCTCAATATCCATTCGTATACGTGCGAACAGATAACCCCGAATTCGATAGCAGGCAACTTGCGTACGCGAGTTATCGTTCCTTATCCGCTACCGACGCGAGCTTCGTTTATAATAAAACCACCGGTGTCATAATCGACTTGCTTATTCCGAGATACTGATTGCTCGAGGTCAAGATCGCGACATGTCGTGTCATCCGTGGCGAACTTCCATTTGTTCTAACCCGGTCTAGCTTTCCGTTTGATTTCGACATCAGGTTTGTCAGAAAAATTCTCAATCCTGTACCTACCGAAATCACCTATGAACTTACAATTACTAATAAGAATTTATTAAGTCATCGTATAAATTCACACTGTATACGCTTCAATTTTATTATGGAATAGGGATAATATTAATAATTGGAAAAGCTTTTAAAACTAAATGTAAGAATATGCTATAAACTTTATTAAAGCTCAACAAATTATTCCAAATACGACGTGTTGCTGTTACGCGTCTGGGCGCTCGCAAGGAACTATGCCTGCTTCGACACGTTGCGCTCCCAGCATCCTCCTT